ATAAAATACATAAAAAACAACAACCGGTTACAATACAACAAAATAAAAGCATAAAAAATCTGAAACAGGCCGAGACAGGATTCCTAAAAGTGAACCAAATCACTATCCTGTAGGTCTCCTAATGCACTATTCCGATTACACATAAAATAATAATGAGCAATTGAAATAATATTTAAAATCTGCAAAATTTGCCTTGACAATAAATATATATATATATAGAAATTGTAAAACTTGTTTAAAATTTAATTTAAGATCGTTTAAAAATGCTTTAAGATTCAAAACCAATAAATCCCTAGTTTCTACAGGTAGTTCCTCCCAAGCGCGTGGAAACAAATGAAACACAGAATATTTCAGAGAATTTGTTCGAGCATATTGATGAACAAATATAAGATGATCACCGTGTCTAGAGTTGATTGTTATGTAATTAAAAATATTAAAATCGTAAAAGCCATGAAGACATTTCGCAATAAAATAAATAGTAAGAAGCTTAAAACGTTTTTCAACTGAAATTAGACCGATAATGTCAAGACGTTGTGCATATGTAAGTTTCCTCCCTTGTTTTGGAACACAGGCTCGAGTCATCCTGCGTTGGACTTGTTCTAAGGAGTTTTGATGCCCCTTAATTCTGATGCGGCAGCCATGCGGGGATGGCATACTCTATAATTTGACGAACTATTGCACAAAATAATTTCGGAATTACAATTTCGTCTCTACAGCGCACGAATCGTTTAATGAACCACATCAATTTAGAAGCCTTAGATCTCGTCTGCGAAACATGCAACCCCCAGTCCAATTTTTAAGTAAATGTTATTCCTATGTATTTATAAGAGCTAACCTGAGTCAGAGAGTTTAAACCAATATTATATACATGAGCACTATTTTGTAGCCTTGATGACCTAGTTATGAGCATCGACTTGCACTTTAATGAGTTAAGGAGCATCTTGTTAGTTATGCTCCAATTAAGAATAATATTCAAATCATTTTGGAGCGACTGTTGGTCAGCAGGAGACCTAATGGCTCTATAAAAAATTGTATCGTCCGCATATTGTAGAATGTGTGAAGAAATATCAGACGGCAAGTCAAGTACAAAAATATTAAACAGAATGGGGCCAAGAACAGATCCCTGAGGAACACCAGATTGCACGTTACAGGTATTGGAAGATGCTCCTCGAAAGACAACTTTTTGAGATCTGCCATCTAAGTATGATACAAACCACTGCAAAATAGGCCCACAGATTCCGTAATGATATAGCTTATTAAGTAAAATTTTGTGACTTATACTATCAAATGCTTTGTTCCAATCTAAAAAAATAACATCGATTGGAGGAGGGTTGCGTTCATCCAATACCTGTGCCCAATGATGATGAGCTGTGGCGAGAATTGTTTGGCTACATCTTCCAGCTACAAAACCATGTTGAAATGGTGACATAAGATGGTGACATTTTAAATGGTCTATTAAGTGATTACTGACAACTCTTTCTAACAGTTTACTTACAATTGAACACAAAGACACTGGTCTATAGTTAGTGATTTCATTAATTACACCATTCTTATGTATTGAAATCACGCTGGCCAGCTTCCACTCTGAGGGGAAAACATCCAGTTGGAGAGACAAGTTAAATATTTTGGCCAAAGGCTCACAAATATATATAGCTGAAATTTTGAGCATCGTGGATGTAACACCATCTGGGCCTGGTGCCTTACCAGTTTTTAGTTTGTTGATGAGTTGAAGGACTTCCGTTGGCGTGGTCTGAATGTTACACAGTGGAAGGAGGCCAATCGTAACTTTCAGATTGATACTGGTCCCCATATGTCTGCTATCAAACCGGTTCTGTCCGGTGTCCGCAGGGGCAGTGTACTTGGGCCACTTGTATTTACCTTTTATATGCCTGGCGTTTCTACACTGCTCAACCGTTTTCATGTAAATCATAAACTTTTTACAGATGACATTCAGATCTGGATTTTGGTTGACATTGACCATAGTTCTCTGCTTGCTTCTAAAATCCACTCAATCGAAACTTGCCTTTTATCTCTGGTAATTTGAATGACCCTGTGTGAGGAAACTAAATATGAATCCTTCCAAAACGGAGCTTCTAGTGAGCACGCCTTTCTCGCCCACCAAATCTCATACTATTCATCTTCTTCTTCTAATCTGGGAATCATCTTTGACTCTAATCTTGAGTTCAAGTACGCATATTTCCGCTGTCTGCAATATTGGCTATTATCATCTCCGTAGAATCCATTTTATCCGTCCTTCTCATACTGCTGTTATTTTTCTTGTTCATGTGCTTTTATAACTCTCAGACTGGACTTTTGCAATTCTCTACTCCATGCCCTGTCTACGATTTTTTTCCGTACGAAACATTTGTATAAAATTCCACTTGGTCTATTTCGGATTGACTCGACTCGAATTCGATACGATACTAGGTTTAAATTATTAGGAAGAAGACCAGGCACTTTGCAGTGTCGTGGCGCCCGAGTACTACTATTATTTTTCTTTCTACATGTTTACCTACAGTAGGCATATGAAATCTTACCGATTTAGGGGGTGTACGTCTGTTAGTAACTGTGAGATTCTTGTATGTTAATAATTGTTATAGTATAATAACTATCTACAACAACAACAGCTAGTACCCCCTTCTATAAAGTAGTACCTGTAGTAGATAGGTACGTACTACTGTACTATCAAAGGCTATAACAAAAAGTCTAACCTAGACTAGGCCTATTCCCCCTAACTCAGGGCCCTAGGCCTGACACCAACAGTCATCTTTCACATGACATTCATTGAAATTTTGAAAACAATTGAAAAAAAATGAAGCATGAATAAAAAATGGGACAGCGGGTAAGAAAAATATAATTAAATAATAATAAATTAAATTATGCCGGTATTAATGAACTTTGCCTAAGCCTTGTATGTAATTAATATTAAACAATAATCATGACAAATAACAATGATAATGAAAATAAAATAATAAATCATTTCGGAATTAATTTCCTAAGCTTTGTAATCAATATTATATTTACTAGGCTTATAATTAATATATAGGCCTAGGTCTCATTCATTCATCATTGGTGCTCTGCCATTTTGGCAGGTCCTATGGCATCCCCAGTATTTAGAGTTCTCTATTCTCAGCTTTTCTCTTCATTTCGAAAATAAATGTCACTCTGTTTCATTTGATCAAGAAATGCTTATATCTTCCTCTTTGTGCTGTCCTCTGAAAGCCACCTTCAAAAACCTATGAGTAAATGGTCACATTCTCTTTAGTTACACTTGTGCACTTACCTAACAATGTTGTTCTCTACCCTTAAGTTCTTGTCAACGGTGCTAGCTGGCATTATACTGTACGGTGAAACATTGCAAAACATATGCAAAATATATAGGGGTACTAATTTTACTTGACAATCAAATCAATCATAATTACACACTTAAAAACAAAATAAACACTAATAAAATCATCAATTAGTTAACATATAGGCCTAAGGTACGTACAAATTATTCACAAATTAGATTTTTAAATTGATGTGATTTTGTTTTTTCAGTATATTTCAATGAACACAACACATAAAAAACCGCATATAAAATGAAAAAAAAAGATGAAAAACAAATTAAAATTAAGTTTTCAACTAACTAGTGAATTATTGTAATTCATATACATACTACTTAGATAAAATAAAAATGTATTGCTCACTACATTCTTGATTTTAAGTACAAGTTCAACATTCATCAACCACCACAGATTTCAACACATGAGACAATTCTGAGCATTTGCAGACCTTCTAAACTCATAATTAGGATAACAATACCACACAAGGCTGATTCACGGTACAAAGGCCAAGACCAGCCAGCTTCCTATCCTGGTAATATTTATAAGTTCTTGCTGCTAATAGATCTAATTCGGACTTTCACCTTTTAAAATCTCACCTCAAATCTTCTCTCTTTTCCCTTGATTTTCCTCCTTAGATTCTCATGCTTGACCTCTATGATAATTGCTTTCAAATTTGTTTTTATCATTATTTTCAATTCTCTTTAATTAATTATTATTTGATTGTTATTAGATTTGTTGTGATCATTTGTTTGTTCTTATAATTTCCTTTATTATTTTCTTATTCTTGTTTGATTATTATCTCATTAATATTATTATTTTCTTTAATATTTTTGTTGTTATTGTTATTTTGTTATTGTTATTGTTTTATTATTATTATTATTATTGTTCTTATTACTGTTATTATTATTATTATTATTTCATTATTATTATTTTATTATTGTATTTTCGACCATATATTGTGTAAAATATTGTAAAGCGCTAGTGACAACTACTATACAAATTTTAAAACCTATCTATCATCTATAGACAAAGGGTGACACTATAATGCTGAACTTACTTGACTTACTTTAATGTGTAGGGCCTTTTTAATTTTTAGTTGATAACTACTGTTAGCCTGATCAAGTGTTCCTTGATTTTAATACAAAAATGGCGAGTGGTTTCGCCATGTAAGTGATATTAAAGCCCTCACTAAATTTGTATATTATATTAGACCTGAGGTCGCCTGGTATTTGGTTAAAAAAAATCTCACTTTTTCCTGTGCTAAATGCAATATATAATTTTTCTTAGAGACGGGCCCTATAAATGGTGGTGAATTGGGCAGCAAGCGGGAGGAAATCCCCATCTCTTTTCTGAAGAGTGTGCTGCGTTCAACGTGCACTTGAGCCTTTTTGCGGGAACAACACAGGAACAACCGCTCATCCGAAAAAATGTTGCACTTTTGAAACTTTGATATCAGCTCTCCAGCTGGAGAGGAGAACAGCGATGGGAATTGAATCGGGGACCAAGAGATCGCCCCGGTTCAGCGCACACACACACAGTTGCTACAAACAGTTTAGCCAACTGAGCTGGCTTCTCTCTGATGCTAATTATACGATATTCTACTTTATGTTTGTTATTTTTAAAAGTATACTCGGGCTCTTGTTTTCTTACATTTTCATTTATCTTTATAGGCTGTGGAATTTTAACATAATTAATTATCGTATGTCAGACAGGCAAAAAAAGATGGCAGACCACAATTACGAAGAAAAAGACATTATAAAAATCTTCAAGAAGCAGCTGCTTGCTTTTGGCCTCACGTGGAAAACTATTGAAATCCTCCTAAATATGGGTTTTTGTAGTTTAGAAGATCTGCGTTGTTTAAAAGTTAAACACTTGGATGAGCTTCATCAGTTGTCTTTTGCACAAAGGGTTAAAATGGAGAAATTAATAGATCAAAATTGGATACCCTATGATGAAAAACATTCTCTTGATTTTAAGGAACATCTACTCTCGCAGCAACTTAGCGAACAAACTGTAGATATTCTTATTAGTAATGGATTTGACAATATGTGTGCATTACGATGTTTAAATGTAACAGATTTTGATAGCATGCAGGATCTAACACTGGCTCAGAAGGCTATTTTAAGGAAGAAAATGGACGATAAATGGGTAGGTAATCATGCAGAGTGTAATGATATGAAGGAAAATGGGCATGAACAGAAACTCTATGAAGAATTGAAACGTGATCAAACAGTTGAACAAGATGGTAATTTTTTGTTTATGTTTTAGTTCTTTTTATTTAGGCATATGGTATAAAGAGATTCACAATATATAACTATACACTAACCGTCACATCGGTGTTGAAATTAATTAATAATGCAAAATTTAACAAATTAGTTGTTAAAAACATTAGAGTAAAATACTGTACACAAATTACTTGACTAACTACAGTACACGAAAAAAGAAAAAGAATATTATTATGCTTTCTATATAATTTTTTCTGACCTTTTCCTTTCATTAATATTTCTAAAACTAATGATACATACAGTATTATTATACTTTTATTATTCACAATAATACATTGAAATACACATAGCGCGATAACAGCGTGGTTGCCGTATATTTATTTATTTATTTATTTTTATTTATTTAGGTATACAACATGAACAACATGCATCCCGGAAGGTGATTACTTAAACAAACTAAAATAATTGTCACTTAAATGTATTGAATTTCAATTGTTAAAAATAATTAAAAAAAATATAGAATTGTTGATAATGAGTTATTAATATTTATAATTAAAATTTAATAGATCGTTTATCGTTGGAACAAATTTGCTGATAGGCTGGATTTTTTAATACAATATATATTAATTGAGTGGTGATTCATTTTATTGGTTGAACATTCTTATATTTCTGATTTAGTAACTTTGAATATTATTGACGTCTTCATTTTAAATAATTTGTACCATGTGTTGAATCACATCTCAGGTCTGAAGTTATTGTTCACAATGTAATATAGGATAACTATTTTTGTCAATTTCTCGCAGCCAATCTATTCATCCAGAAATCACCCATCCATGTACCATTTAGATATTTTCGAAAATACTGCTGTATAGATAAACTGTTATTTTATTTCTCTGAAAAAACAAAAATCAAACATATATTCATAGTGACTTAAATCAAAATGAGTCCAGGTCAACTAGAAATAATGCACCAAAATGTCGAATTTAGTCAAGCTTCCAGTCAAGCTTATTTTTGGTTAGCACTAATGTGAATAATAAAGTCCATTTCTATTAATTTTCAGAAAACACAAGCCGAACACCGAACTATGATCATGTTGATCAACCTAAACCTAGATCATCTAAAAGAGCCTTCGAACAACCAAAAACGAGCTTTCGGGAAAACAGTGAAAATGAATTGAAAGAAGGTATTATAATGTAATTATATTGTAAGTATTTTAGTTTTTCAAAATTTACTCGTTTGTAAGCATACTTTTTATAAGTTTTTTTTTCTCCAGAACGCAAAAAGAGTAATTTTTCATCAAAATCTGAGACAAAGACAGATGGTAGACAAAGAGACAAAGAAAAAACAAGTCATTCATCTTATAAAAGATTTACTTCCACCAACAGTTATCCTAATGTAGAAGGTATTGTAAAATTAATTACTGTAATAGAGAAACACAATTTTATCGGTATGCAATAACATTCGGGCTAATTCATGCGTAAAAAAATAGAAGGTTGTTATGGCTTCCATAGAACATAATATTGTGTGTGTTTTTATTGATAGAAAGTTCACGGCGTCCGTCGCCACGGAGGTTTGTCGAACACATGAAATGCAACGTGGCTCGAGATCATTTTAATAAAAAAGAATATGTTGAAATGGAGTGTATTTTAATAAATCTCGAAGAGGAATCAAAATCTGCGATGGGTCGAATCAGATTTGGTAGCCTTATTTCTAAAGGATGTAGTGATTTCTCCGAACTACATGATTGTCTGAATTCAGAAACTACCGATGTTCACACTTTACATGACGTAATTTGTCATCAATTAATCACTCTCGCCGAATCTCACGGAACTCTTCTGAATGAGATGGGATTAACATCCGAAAACCAGGTATTTTCAGAGTGGGCTCACAATAGTTCAGCTGTGTTTAAACATGATTCTAATCTTGAATATGATTCTAACCAGTGGAAAGACATTATTGGTAAAACTGAAGAATTGGTAGACTATTTTTCATCGCTTTCAATTCCTGCTCAGAACGTGACAAAATCGTTCATACTACTGATATTACAGTTTGTTAATCGTGTATGGATAACTCGAAATCACATTCTTCCGTCTGATCATCATGGTCTTTTGCGAATAGCGACCTTTGCTATATATCTCTGTGAATGCAGGCTTGTGTCATCAAGATGTTTTTGTGAACTCAAGTATAATTCATATGCACATGCAGCTATCACGTTAGGTTGTAATATAGCAAATTCCAGATTGGAAGTTGAACATTTTTACGATCATTTTCATGTTTTTAAATCAAAAATGGAAGAGTATCTTAACCAATGTCTAGAGTTGGGTGTCGATCCGGAAACAGATGACAACGAGAGGAATCTGGAAAGGTTTTCAAGCGGTAATGTTTTAAATCAATAATAAAGGCAGTTATTAGATTTTATTCACTGTTATTATTCGATTCTTGTGTTGTATTTTTGAAATTTAATGATGAGATTCGTTTATAACGATGTTTTTTTCAACTTCAAATTGAAATTATAAATGATAATTAACGTTTAGCTTATATTGCATGCTTACTTTTCCAGATGTTGAGACGGAATGGGCAAACTACAAGTCAGCAATTGATTCTGAAGACGAGGAACTACCATATTACTCTAAAGGGGACGACGGCGAAAAACAAAGACTGGTAGAATTACAAGTCGTAAAATTGAATCAATTATTCTGCAACAAACACTATTCTGAGTTTCGTCGCTCTATTGTTGAATCAGAGAACATTTTGCAAGAAACTGACTTTAAGTTGAATATTGCTGTATCTCCCAAGTTTGAAGAAATTCATAAGTCAGTTAGTGAATTAAACTTTGGAAGTGCACATGAACTTTTAGAAAGTCTCCAACATAAACTGCTGGATCTGGTAATTGACCACAAAAGTGTCCTCGGGAAGATGAAAATGTACTGCAATGATGCTTTAGCCAAATGGACAGAACTCTTCGTCACATTTTGCTCATCTCAGGATTGCATATATGGCTCAGAACTATGGAAGGAGTCCTTGGCCGTGAGCCAGATTACAATTGATAATGCTCAAAGAGGAATTGATCCTAACGGGCAAATGGTCATCCAGTTGTATTTACAATTGATGATTACAATGATAATGAAATTTAGTTTAGCTTACGAACGCGCTGTTCCCAATGATTATGCAAGCCACGTTCGTCTTGCTTTTATGAACATGACAATGCTTAAGAGTTCCCTCCTGAACTCTCAGTGGTATTCAAAGTTGAAATATGATGTGTACCAATGCGCAGTACGAAGTCTAGGGGCTTGCATTATAAATGAAAACATTCCTGCTGATCATTCTACATACGAACAATACAAACATGTTAAAGATATTCATGATAAATTAGATGTCAGCTGTCGAAAATTATCAATTTACGCTGGATCAACAGAAGCCAGAGAAAACCTTAAAAGACTTAACAGAGGTATTTAAAGTAAAGAAAAGTCTATAGGCAAATATATACATGTTCACCCTCCAATTCAAAACGGAAGCTTTCACCGTGTATATGTATAATTGGGATTCCTTCCAGTGGATGCTTAGTTTATTTTGTCATTCTGATCGGATTTTCTATAAAAGGAATTATAATGAACCACCTGTCTAGAAAATCTTACTTCTATCAACACCCAACCACTAGAAAACATGGTAAAACTGTCTCTTATACACATCTAGATGTGTATAAGAGACAGATATATACATATAAATATATATTGTGTCTGTGTGTGTAAATCATAATACGATGTCGAGATTACCTCTAAATCGTCTTGCAGCTGTGGTAATGCTGTAATGATATACTGGTATTTTGAACGTTTATGAACAGGAGTCTGTGAGTGTATAAAGAAGCTGCCTCAACCGGGATTCAAACCCTGGACCTTCTGCTGTTTATGCAGAGACATTAACCAACTGGGCCATTGAGAATTCAAATCCGAATAAAGCAGCTCATTCCTCGCACTCATTTTGCGCATACGTAGTACATATGTATAAACGGCAGTTTTGTATAGACATTTTAATTAATATTAGTTTCACATACAGGCCTTTTTTGTATAGGTCATATAGAGCCAGGGAGTAGGTATGCTTATAGGTATGTTTATATAACATGATTTTGTGTCATTTAATAATATGTGTTCTGATATTTGTTTCTGTATTAACATTTAGATGTTGAACGTAAGGTTTTTGGAAAACCGAGGAATCAGAAAATATATGAAGCCAGGAAAGGAGGTCATCAAGTAAACGTAATCGGGAGCGATCCTCATGTGGCTCGTTATATAGAAGAGTCAGTTCAAAATTATTACCAACGAAAATTTGACGAGATGACTGTCTGTTTGAACGACGCAGAAACGTTCGATGGTACATGTGATATTAGATTAGCTTTTGCAGGAAATTGTTCACCAAATTTCAATGCCGCTGTTAACTTTAGCAACAATATACCTGAACATCTTGGGCTGGGTGTTGTTATTAAAACAACATACGATCAGTTAATGAACTTAGCAGATGATCACCAACGAATCATGACATATATGAAAGAGACAAATAGTTTGGACATGGTCAATTTGATCAAATATTTATTTGGTCAAGATATTAATTATGGTACAGATGAATGGGAAATAATGATTAAGAAATCAAAGCAGGTGGTTACCTACTTCGAGAGCCTGACTCCGAATGGTCAGTCTGTAACTAAAGCATATGTTCTTCTATTATTGACAATTTTGCATAATTTTATAGCAACGAGAAATAGACTCTGCACTTATGCTCGTCACAAGCTGCTTCCATTCGTTATATGCGGTGTTCCTTTTTGTGAAAGTAAAATGTTGGCGTTTGACGCATGGACACATGCAAAATTCAGCGTTTACGAACTTGCAGTAGTAACGATAGCCGCAGCACTCAAGGCAGGTCAAATTCCATGCTGCCCATCGTATCCTAAATATTGTAGGAAACTTTGGCAATTAAAAGAAAGTGCAAATAAACTAGGAATATCCGTTATTGGAAAAGAGAAAGAAAATTTCCTCAACGAGATTTGTCAAGGTAAGTAATAAATAGATAACAATTGTTTTCGTAACATAGATGCATTTTGGTTGCTTTGAATTTGAAAGCTGTGCAATTGACCTCCTTAGTCCAAGTAGAGCATCTCATGTGTTGTTTGTCTTTTAAAGGGATTTTAGAAAGTGTTTTCATAACTGCTAGGCGTATAGCTTGCCATTGGGCTTAAAGCTGAATAAAAATGAAAGCAGTTTTATAACCGTTAACTCATTTTAAAGCTATGTTCACATGAGGCCCGGATTCCGGTCCGGAGAAAAAAAATCGTGAAAAATGGGCTCAATGATAAAGAATAGGACCGTTCACATCAAATTCGAACGATTTTTAATCCGGTCCGGATCTGGACTGATGGATTTCATTTTTTTTTCTTGGACCAATCAGCAACAAGCATGATTGGTTTGAACCAATCATACGCATACATACTTAACGCGAACAACCGTCTTCCGTGCGTGATGTGAACGCAGCAATTCACGATTTTTTGTCCGGGCTCCGGACCGGATCCGGGCTTGATACGAACGTAGCATTGTCAGTTTAAATATAATACGATTCAAACTAACTACTTTTTTTTACTTCTAGCTGGAAATGAGTTGTACAAGGGATCAGAAGATCGAATGCACATATCAGCTGCATTGCTGTATTTTGACGCTCGTTGCTATATGGGCATGATGGCAATACTGAACGCAGGCGATGAAACTTATAGTAATGCTGTGCACATCAGAATGAATTTCATGATGAGAATATCCGATGAATTTGAAACTTGTGTTGATTACCATAATCAGATTTCGCATGAAACATCTTACGAAAACCTAATCAGCAAAGGGTACGAAATGTTACATTTATTTTCAAAAGATCATTCAAAAATCGTCAGAAAAATCGAAAAGTCGAGTTCAGACGCCCTATGTAATTGGGTCGATGCTGTTTTTCAAGCTAAAGGAAGCAGGCCAGATGTGCATCCAGACACGTACGGTTCTGATGAATGGGAAAGTATGCTGGAAAAGAGTCGAATTGCAAGAAAGTATATCATGGGTTTAAGTAAAGTGTCAATATGCATCTCACAAGCATATTTGTCATTTTTTATGAGCTGGTGCATGAATTTCATTTCAAAAAGACACCGTCTCTGTCCCATAAAAAATGACTTTACTGGAGAACTGAGGCTTATTCTTGCAGTCATTGAGCTGTGTAAAGAGGCGCTTACTACGTCACTTCTTTCGATTGAAACAAAAGAAAGAGCATATGGTTTAGCGGCTTTACTATTGACGCAAGTCGAAAACACAGGCGAAGCCGGAATAAAGGAGATGGAGGAGATTACTAAGGTGCACGATGATTATACAGAAAAGATTAAGTCATATGACCAGAAGTTACAGAACAGAGAAACCAACAAAAAATGTAAATACTTGTGCCATATAAATATTCTTCCTACCATTATAAAATTTATTTATACCAAAGTACCATAGTTTTTCGCAATACATTATAAGGAACTCCAAGTATTTTACTGTATGTGATATAGAAATTTAACATTCCAATAAAGATAATATCGTCTTTTTGCATTTTTCCATTAAAGATTGGCCGTCGGAAGATTCTTACGACGACGGTTTCGATGAAAAGATAGGCCAACCTGCAGCCGAGGATAAACAAGATACACATAAGTCCAACGAAGGTAATCAATTGTATATGATTTATGTGCTTGAATTTATATTTAGTTTATATCTATAGTATTAATAACATACATTAATCGTCTTGCTGTCTGACTACTGCTACTGTTTTTTTTCAAAGAATTCTCTGAAGATATGAATCCTACAGGAAGTGGAAACGTAAAAAGCAAGAACCTAAGCACAGAAAGAATGTCATGTGTTATTACAAGCGCAGGGGAACATGCATGCATTGTTGGAGGTGATCAAATTATACATAACTATTATATGATTCAAGGAAAGGGAGAATCCACCGAAGAGCTTTCTCAAAAGTCTCTCGACTATTTTGAGATGACAAAAAAAACTTTTGAGTAAGGTAGCTTAGAAGAAAAAAAAAAACATGCAACTGATCGTGATACTGTTTCGAGATTTATTCATTTATTTACAGGAACATTTCTGAAAACAAACGAATATAGTATGACAGTGGCTTACATCACTTTATTGAAGTTAGTTTCATACGCAACTTTCTTGCGTAAGCTTCCTATAAAATCTTCCTATAAAGCTTTGAGTTATGAAGTGGAGTCAGTTATAGCCGGTGGTCAAAACCCTGAGGGTCTACTACCGGCGCGAAAATTTGGGTAAATAGTACCTCTAGGTGACCGGAAGTGACAATTAGAGTAAAATTTATCATCATCACATCACCATTATAGTCAAAATGAAGCACCAACAAATTTCTCATGATCATTTATCAGCGATTTTCGGCAATCATAGAGATCTAAATAAATTGGGTTGTGTATTGAAAATAAAACTTTAAAACATTATCTTTGATGTATTTACTTTACTTTACCTGCTTGAAGCCGAGCGACCAACCAAGGTTGGGCTGAGGCTCAAACATTTGAGTAAATAGTACCTCTAGCTGGCCGGAAATGACACTTTTGTATAGCAAAATTCATCATCATCGCATCACCATTAGCCAAAATGAAGCGCCAGCAAATTTCTCATGATTTTTTATTAGGGATTTTCGGCATTCATATAGATCAATTAGTCTCTGTAATGCACCATAAACAAATAAAACTTAATTGTCTTTGATGTATTTACCTTACTTTTTGTGCTGAAAACCAATATTATCTTCACACGCTTTTTTCTCATACTCCTCAAATTACAATAAAGGCACCCACAGTCAAGTCGTGGTAATTCAGATAGGCCTATTTGTGTGCACTGAGATACGGGTATCTTGCTATAAGAAGATGTATTCTGGCTGCTGCACAGGGCTCTTTCGTTAAACCCTGGGTCATTTATGCAGTTCATTTCAACAATTTTCAGGCATTTTTTGACTTACAAAATCACATTGCCGCCGAAATGTGGAGAACAAACACCCCCCCCCCCTTTAAAAATATGCGGGGGACATGATTTGCGCCCGTGATAACCATGTAGGCAACAAGTACATTTTCTTTAAAACCACCATCATTATATGACAATTATATGACAATTTGTTTTTCTGGAACGAATCGATACTAAGATAGAGATGTGGATTTTTTCGTTAACAAAATGTGATCAGTGCAATTTGTTGATAGCAGTTTGTTTGCATATCTTTATTTTACTGTATATTAACTTTTATTCTATTTTTTTTTCTGTATTTTTGTAATAGATTTTTGGAATCTAGGGACCTGCTTTTGTAAGTGTGCTGTTGAATAGATTAGACATATTAGTCACATTACATTGCGTGTATAAGGAATGTATTAAATACTGCATGTAGGTAAATCAAGAGGACAAAACAAAAACTGATAACACATTGAATTGTTCATATGTATATATGTATATATATATATATATATATATAACGAAAGAAATTTATTGCTTCGGGATCCTGTTGAAATGTGCCTCATGAGGCTTCATAAAAATATCCATAAAACAGTACAAAAAAGACTTTGATATAGATATTTGTTAGGTTTTTTTGTACTTTTCAAACTATAATTTTGAAATTAGTATGAAATTTAAGACGAAATTTATGTAAGAAGAAATAAAACTAATCAATAGGTAAGCAATGCGTCAATTTAATAAGTAGAAATGTGTTTTACGAATGGTTCAATGACAACAGTGTATTTAAATCTAAATATTTACATTTTTTACATAGGGCCTATTACTTATACTTCAATGCACTTATAGTTTAATGTTAATTATTACACGTTTTAAATGTGATATGTCACAGTGAAAATATAATAATATTTTTTGACGTCCCTTCCATTTGAGATTTTTTGGAATTAGTTGACGGTTAGACGCTCTTGGATCTGACAAAGAGTTAAGCTTAAAATAAAGTTTATGTTTTACGAGAGTAGCCTACTACATGTATACATGAGAAGCACAAACAAGACGAGTAACTATATTTTTTTTCGAGGTCACCGAAGGGGGGATGGGGGTGGCCAGCCACCCTATTCACCCCCTAGATCCGCCACTGCATGATGCTTTTTCTTTTGCTTTTTTCCCACTCTGATTGGCTAGATAAAAATATGCACGTCTGCAAAAGCTTAAGAATCCTTATTTAATTCCGCCAAAATCTATTGCGGACGTAAGATGCCCAAGTGTGCTGAGCTCAGCAAAGTAAATTTCGGTGGACCGATTTTGGCTTATGTGGACTACTTTGGCAGGTAGTGGACTGATTTTGGCCCCGGACTAAATTTTTTTTTTTCTGACAGGCCTATCGCATTTTCTATTAAATAGCATGCCTGGGTAACTTCAGCCAACGATCATAGTGACGTGAAACCAAAATACCACCTGATCTAAATTTAGCCATCGCAAAGTCCCAACACGACGTTGATATGAATCAGTAATAGTGGAGAAACGAAAACTATTACATTGCGGATAACCATTCTTTTTAATACACTAATAAAAAATAGGCTCCCGGCGGCAGCGTGTGTCTACTGCCTAATATAAAGGAGTTTTTGTTTTTGAGTTTAATCCTATGTTCTTCAATATGCAGATGTGTGTATTCATTGTAGTGTATGGATTTGTCATGAACATTTTCTTTCATAACAACATTCAGTACAACATTCAGTATACATAATATTACACTAAAAACATTTTATTATTCAATTCCATTCAATTCATTTAATTTTATTGCCGGTGTAGCACGAATTTTAGTTCCCGGCGAATTTTAGTATTTCGTGGTCTGGATAATCAGAGCCTATGTCTATGTATTCATTAAAAAAGATAATGTAACGGAAGTTTATACAATCGAGCATGTACCTTATGTTCAACTTAACTTCACAGCTTAATTATCTAGATTAAACAATCTGCAAAAAAAATATTTAAAAGCTAATTTACTTTGAAAAAAAATCACAAGTCACTTTACAGCAAGAAACAGCGAGCATGATGGGAAGGTTAGGTGAAACTTAATTTCCTTTACAGCGACAGTAATTAGGCTAACAATAATAAGGCGGGAATAGATCGGGTAAACAATAATAAGGCGGCAATAGATTGGTAATAATATTACGTCCGCATAAGCAGTATAAGATGAAACTGTATTGACATTTACTGGCAGTTCGTTGGTGGGAGTTATTCGAAGCTTTGGGTTAATGGGAGACCTTGTCTCTAGCTGCACTCAACTGTTAGTTCGCCTGCATGTTTTGTAAAGCTATTCATTGGTTTTACCTTGAATTTGCGTGTAGTATATGTTAACATACAGCTTCCTTTTTTTGGTACTGGTACTGCATGTTAATTCTATTAAATCTTTAGTTGATTATTTTAATGTATTCCACACATTTGCGTACTACTGAAGTCTGGGTTATATTACAATGTTAAGTGAATCTGCATGTTGATCTTATTTCCAATTATTTCCTCTCAATGTGTTGTGTGATAATCAATTGTTTGTTCTCATTATTTATTTGTTTTCTCAATGCAGCAACATATAAATTAAATAAAAATAAATAAAACAATTCTCGCTTATAGAAACAAACAACAGTGATTAATAATCGGTTGATTTAAAATACAGAAATTTATTATTAATAAATAAAAATATGTGAGGGGTGATTTTTTTAAACATAATAATAAATAAGTCATACTACTATTTTATTTTTTTTTTTGGAATCAACATCATTCATTATAGAGGCTTTTGTTTTATTGTTAATGTTATTATTATCATTATAGTAGTATAATAATTTCTATAATTACTATTTTCCATAATTTAACTATTGTGATCGATCCTTATAATCGTTGATGTTGGGCAACTCTGACAGCGCCGTACGATTTTTATATATTTTTTTTATTAGCTAAAACTGTGTCAGAACCCACTTTACCTATTATTATTTCCCTGTATAGCTAGAACAACATATATACAGTATACAGTTTTAAATAATTTACCTTGGCTCTTTGTTGATATACTGTATTCAGCAGTTTTAATGCATGAATGTTATTTCGTTGACGATTTCCTTATTTGTTATTGTATTTGTATTTAACGGCATTTCATGAGAAAATTTTAGCATTTCATTTTATATATTTTTGATATGTTTTATATACTCGCCAAGTATCGTATTCTAATTGTAATGGTTTTGTTGTATTAAAATCTACCCGGAAATAAAATAAAATAAATAAAAATAAAATATATATTGTATTTATATTGTTTTTGGAGGCAACAGTGTGGAATAGTTTCTCACTTTTCTTTATTACACAGTACTTACTACCACCAGGGAACAGTGAAATTCACTGTTCCCTTCTACTGTAGCAAATATAAATTGAAGGTTTTTGTTTTGAAAGTCGTTACAAATACCTCTAGCCAATAGCTGGCTGTAACAGTATATGATTCGTAGGCAGGAGTTTGCTTAGGTCCGACCAATCAAAATGAAGGCCATTGCTTAAGCCAGATTGGAAGCCTAATTAGCATACATCACCCTATATAAATGTATACGAGACTGACTGCATGCATTGCATTTGACTTTATATGATAGCGGAGGCGATGTGGGTAACACAACACTGTGTTGAAAACGGATACGATTATATTAAAATTGAATTGCATATAGCAATATTGGTGACATTGAATATATTATTTTCAAACGTTTCTTAAACTATAGATCAAAGAATTAAATATAAATTTTATCTAGGCTACTATGGCTAATGACAGGTACGCTTTCACCATTAAAGGCTTTTTCTATGAATGGAATGACCTGTACGAAACACGAGCTCCTGTAGACCAAACCCAGTATATATACAGGTTTATTTA